TTCGGCAGCTCCGCTGCGGAGGGGAGGGTCGGGAAGTGTTGTCGGGGCCTTTCAAGACTGTTTCCAAACACTATCAAAAAGAGTCTGGAGATAAGGCTGAGGCGAGGTGCCACAGCAGAGCAGGGAGGCAGGAAAACAGGAGCCCCAGCCAGGCAGAGTAAACAGCTGCCGTCCCCTGCTCAGCATCACATGAAAACCCCAGGAATGGAAAAGGACAAGGCCACCCGTCCCCTCTGCTCCTGGCACCGGGGAGATAAGAGCAGGAGGTACTAGAAACACACCTGCCCCAGCCAGGCTCCTGGCACCAGCACGAGGAGGGGTCTACACTTAGCTCATAGCTGAGGCTAAACTACAGCAGTTGTTCTATCACCTGATGACCTCTCCCAAGCCAAGAAGGGGGACTGAGAAAATGAGAGGAGACCCATGAGTTGAAGTGAAAAGACTTTAGACTCAGCCCAGGGAATGTACAGAGGTCACGATAAATGGGTCTGGGCTACACCTGTAGGCAGCTCAGGTCACTGCTGGCTTGGAGCTGCTCACCATCCACTCACCTGGTGTGGAGCCACCACGAGGTGTGAGATACAGAGGGTTGGGAACGGGACTGGAGACATGGTGCTCAGCAGCATCCAGACCAGGGCCATGCTCTGAGCGCTCTCCTGCCTCTGGTAACCCCAGATCCTCGAAATCAAGAGAGTAAAGGTCAGCAGGATGTGCAGAGGCTGCCACACAGGCCCCTCCTCCAGAGGTGTTGTCTTTCCAGGAGGAGCTGTCTGTACTGCTGACCGATGTCCACCAGTACAAGAGGAACCTGGATGAACACCTCAACAAGCTCCTCAACAACAAAAGCCGCATCGCAGTGAGTGCCAGGAGTCCCCGAGTCCTCTGTGTCCCACACAGCCCCAGGAGCCACCTCTGCTCCTGCTTCTCCCCAGCTCGCCTCCTCTACTCCTCCCTTCCCTGGGATATCAGGCAGGGCTTATCTGCCACCCTGTTCCCTGAAGTTTGTGTTCTCCATGAAACTCAGGGATTAAGCCCAGAGCTGTTTTGGGGAAGGGTGACGTAGCCCTGTCTGGTGGCACAGCCCTGTTTTCGGAAGGGGTGATGTAAACCCTCTGGCAGGAGCAGCAGCCAGAGCTGCTTTGACCAAATGTCCTTGGAGATGGGGAGATAACAGGTGGAAAGGACCCGACTCGGAGCAGGTTCCCCAGTCAGAGCAAGGCTTCTGGCTTCACATCGGGTCTAGGCCTGATTTAGCTGCCTGCCCCTTTCCCATGCAGTAGATGACTCCAAGGGACCTCCTGGCATCCCTTCTGAGGCCAGAGCTTCCCAGGAGGGCTCCTCAGGAGGGCTCAACCCAAACCAAAGTGGAGTTTTGTCCCCCTTAGCCCAGGACACAGGTTGTTCCCTGGGAGCAGAGGGACCCTGCTGCACAGAGCTGCTCTGCATTTGGAAAGCCAGCAGCAGGCGGCTCGGTGGGACACGCTGACACTGCTGGTGGCATCTCTGACACCACGAATCTGGTGGAGGGGGTGGAGCAAGGCCACCCTGCAGAGCTGTCTGGTGTCTCCTGGCAGAACGAGGTGGATGTCTTCAAGTGGGTGATCCGGAAGGAGTTCCAGGAGCTGCACAGGTACATCGACGAGGAGAAGGCCACGTTCCTGGAGAGCGTGGAGGGGAAGGCAGCCCAGCTCATCACCTCCATTGAGTCCCAGGTCAAGCAGACATCAGACGCCCTGCAGAGGCTTAGGGAGATGCAGAGCTCTCTGGAGGCGCTCAGCAACGAGAGCCAGCTTGACTTCATCCGGGTGAGCACGCTCGCTGGTGCAGGCAGTGACAGCCAGCAGGGCTCTGCAGCCCTCAGCCCTGCCCTGGCCAGTGGGAACCCTCACCAAGCAGAGCTGGGACACCACGAGAAGTGATATGTAGGTGCCCTCTGTCCAGCCAGGGCTTCCCCTGATGGGAGAGACCTGCCCTCTGCAGGAGGCAATGCCCGTAGCTGTGCCAGGAGAGGAAAGCCCCGGCCTCTCCAGCCCAGGGCACAGACCTGTGGAGCTGGGAGCACACTGAGAAGTTGCCCTTCTGTCAGTCGCCTGCCACCAACTCTCTCTTTCTCTTGTGTTTTGCAGAAATATGGCTCCTCCCAGTTCAGGTGAGTGGTGGGACTCGGCAGCAAACGGCATCAATGGAGATGGCCAGTGCCTCCACACCAGGGCTAGAAGCCCCAAGCCAGTGGGCATCTTGGCGTTGCTGGGGTGGCCTTTCAAGGTCACTGCTGCTGTGAGGGACAGCCACAGGCAGAGCCATGTGCTCAGCCCCAGGAGAAGGCAAGGGCAGCTGGTGAGACACCAGTGGCTCCATCGTGCACGCAGCCAGGTGAGAAGGGGCCACACGCTGTCCCCATCACCCCTGTCTCTGCTGCCCGTGTCTTTCCAGGTCAGAGCTCCCCAGCCTGCACCCCGGTGACGGCGTCTTTACCCCCGTGTCCTTTAAGCCATGTTTCCACCAAGACGACATCAAGATGACCGTGTGGAAGCGCCTGCACCGCCGCGTCCT